TGTGGTTTGGTGGTTTGATGGTGTTAAAGGTATTGTCGCAGGATATAAGCTGTTCCAAGTAAAGCTGCCTTTTTCAATTGACTGAGGATGATTTTGATGATGATGATGATGATGATGATGATGATGATGATGATGATGATTTTGCTTTTCTGTATTTCTTAAAAGTAAGGAAGGCTATACAATAGATAGATAATGTGCCTGCAGCATTAAACTTTTCAAAGCCAAAGTACTAAATCCTTTGCCGTATGGCACAGCATTGTGTGTAAAAGTATCCTTGTGCCAGAAGCAGTTCTGCCTGAATTTCCTGCTTCAGTAACATTATTGTTCTGGTTATTAGTGAGGGGAAGGAGGGTGGAGGGAATGCAGTCCAGTCTGCAATGTTGGATTGAGGAGTGATCATTGAGAAAAAAAAGGGGCATCGCTCCCTGTCCACAGGCATCCATGGGGGGTGGTCAAGATGGAGACTATGATCAAGTGATCTGGTTCCTTTTTTACATGGGTTACATGCGTCATGAATGTAAAAGAGGGGTGGAGCTTCAAGGAAATCATTTTTACTTTTTTGACCCACACAGACACACACATTAATATTCCTGTGCCTTTTTCCTTTTGCCTGGAATGCTTTTTCCATGCAGAATTTGGCAGAAAGCAGTTTGCCTGCTCACTCTTGCATGAAGAAAAATGTCTCTTTCTCTGCAGGATTTGTTTGAGGAAAAAATCACCCTTCACCTGCCCCTACACTGAGAAATCTAGTCAAGAAGATTTGAATTTCAAAAGTTTCCATATTTGTGAGATTTAAAACGGTCAGTGATCAGGTTGCCCTGTGCTGAGCATTGCAAACGATGGTTTCTTTTCCAGAAAAGGTGCTGGTGTGCTCTTTTCTCCTTCATCAGGAGGGTCTGCAAGTTCCGAAAGGCAATGAGTTATGTGAGAGAGCGCAAACACTTTGAGAACTTTCTCCAGAAGGAGGTGAAGAACGACAAGGAAAGTGAGTCCTAAGTCTCTCACTTCCTACATGATAAGCTCCAGTGGATTTTTTCAGGAGGAGGAGTCGCTTTTGAGTTGATTTCTTGCTATTGTTTATTTGAAAACAAGGGAATGGAGAAAAGGCATCAGTTGGTCCAGATTTAAAGGAATTCTGGGAGTTGAAGTCTATACATCTTAAAGGTGCTGAGGTTCAGCAATACTGGATTAGGGGATAGGACTCAGTGGTCTAAATGGTCCCTTCCAACTCTATGGTGCTACTCTTTTTCCAAAGGCACACATACATATGGCTGTTTTGACATTCAGACCTTATCTGGAAACACAGCCTTAAACCTAATCCCTTAAATGTTGCTCCTTTCCTGAAGCAGAGGGCTCTCAATCTTTTCCTCCCCTTTCCCTCCCATTCTAACTACCTGCTCAGAGAAAAAGAGTGGTTATAAAGTTCAAATTTAAATGCTAAGCTCTTTGGAACAAAGATTCAAGTATTTTTTTCTTCTTAGTAATTTGCTTAGTCTACTTTGTAGAAGGCTATGACCACTGATGTCCACTGAATAAAGAGATAGTAATCAAAGTAAAAAGAGATGAACACCTAGGCACTCAAGTTAGCTATCCGGTTCACTCCAAAGTCATGTGTCCTTCACATATAGAATCCAATCCAGATAATTATATCAGACTCATAGAGCATGGGCCAGCTTTTTTTCAAAGAATAGTCAAATTGTCTGGAGTCTCACAGAGGGTGTTTTACAACTGCAGAGTAACATCTGCAAGCTCCACTCCTTTCATACGTGATGCATATAAAAAGGGAAGGAGTGTGTATTGCGTTGGCATGACATTGCTTTCATAATTTGCCCCCAGACCATGAACACTAATGTCCCCTGAAGAGATCACTGGCTGTACTTAGGCAAGGTCCAATCTTCAAATGCCTCTCCAATTAGAAGATTCATCTACCAATAGAAGCGAATATGTGTAGCTCAGGGTTGAACTGTGGAGTCCTTGGGGTTCTCTAAGCTTGGTTCTTTTCTTGCAAACATTTTGTTACCCAGCTAGGTAACATCTTCAGTGCTAGAATAGAAGTGCCATTCTAGCACTGAAGATGTTATCTAGCCAGGTAACGAAACATTTGCAAGAAAAGAACCAAGAATGTTTGCGAGAAAAGAACCAAGCTCAGAGAACCCCAAGGACTCCAAGATTCATCTAGTTTCCTAGACTAGCTTTCCCTAGCAAGCAGAGCACTTGGATCCAGCTAGAATTCCTAAAAACTCAGGAGTTCACTAAATCAGGAAAGCCAACCTTCTAAAATTAGAAGTTCATCCTGATAGCCTTGTGTTGGTTGTGGTCTCTGCAGTTCCCCACATTCTTCATTCTGATGGAAATAAATCACTGGAAGCTTCCAGACCAACAGTATCAGCTCCAGCAACAATTTTCCAGTCTAAACACTTTTATCAGAGAATTCTTTATCTTCAAGGCATGGAGTAAAGGGGATGGGATATTCATGGGATTAACCTGATTAGCTGAAGTGGATTGTGGTCCAATTGCTCCAAGGCATTTTGTGCAACTTCAGCTCCTCTACACTAGAAAATAAAAGCACAGTGCTTGTACTGAAGATTATTGAATTATGGAATTATTTTTATACCTCTCATCATGGATGGATTTTTGTGGTAAATGCTCCCTCTTTTTCTTTTCTCCAGATCTGCAAAGCCCAACTGGTACTCAAACAAGGCATGGAAGTATTTCTGGAGTTAGTGGGCGTTATGGCTCAGTTTATGGACCATCAGATGACACTGAAGTGCAACAGGTAAAGCGCAGGATACCTGGTGGCCGCATCATCTCAGTCAACTTCTTGGTGAATGATCTCTACTTTTATCTAGAAATGGAGAGGTAAGTCAGCCCGTGCTATATCTCTTACTATATCATCCACGCTTCTTGTATTCTGTGATCAACAATATTTATCCCCATCCATTGTGTCTAGGGTGACTCTTCAGTCACACTCATCCAGCATCATGTTGTAAGGCCGTATATGAATATCTATCATGTTTGGATTGGATAACTGGCCAATATGTTCTTAAACAGAGGCATCACCCTCCTAGTTCACAATGGCAATCTGGGGCAGCCATAGAGACTTATATCAGGCTGGTGCTGAATTAACATGACAGCTTTTAGGATGGGAATGGGCCACAGGAAGAAGTATCC